ATTGACTTGGCACAAAGAATGCAACACCACCACCTATTTTGTTTGTACGATTATTTGTAAGTATATCATATCCAGGGAGAGAAAACAGTGTATTATTTTGATCTGAAAGCCACGTCTCAGTTACGCCTAATACTGTATTTTTGGGAACTCCTGTGTTATCTATAAACGAACGAAACTGTTCATAATTCTTGTTGAGACTTCTAACATTAAGATGTAATATAGACAAGCAAGAATCAGTTATACTTTTGAAAATATTTTTGGCCGAGGACTCAGTATAATAGTTTGAGGAAATGAGACCCGAAGCATTATCATTTGGATCCAATCCACATTTCAATTCATCATTATTAGCACATAATATATCCTGTGTGACATTATCAGAATCACTGGAAATGTTCGTCATCGTGTCAAAGTCAATCATTATTTACAGATAAAATTATGAATGTACAACAAGGCAGAAGCATACTAGGCCCTACTTAATTTGTTGAGATCCTCTTCTCGATGGATGGCTATCGGTGGCATATTGGGGTTCTTCCTCACCAGGATGGTGCCATTTACAGTCCACAGGAATTTCCAGCCAGCCTTCTTCCTTTCCTCATTCACCTTCCTCAGTAGTGACCTCGTTGCCGGGGCAAGATTTTCGTTGATGAAAATCATCCTCTCATCTCTTGAGAAGCCCAGCTCCCGAGTAGTTGTCTCCCGCAGCTTCTTTCGACCAGCATACACTTCATCTCTCACCCTCCTGGTTGTAAATCGTACTATGATTGGTCTTGGACTCGAACCAGAAACACCTTCCCTCTTGCGGCCTAGACGATGGGATACATCAATGTCGGTGTAGTTCACCTCTGGTGCGACCACCTTCAAAACTTTCAATACCGACTCCCTCACATTTTCGCCTTCCTGTTCTGATACACCCGCCACTTCCAGATTAATTCTCCGATGATACTGATCAAGGTCATTCACTTGATTCTCTAGTGCTGACAACTTTTGCTTTAGATCCGCGTTTTCCTTTTTTACAGACTTGTTGTCGTCCTTCAGCGTCTTAATGTCGTTTGTCAGTTCGTCTACTCTCCCACTGAAGAACTCAACAGACCTAGTTAGCTCATCTTGGCCAGATTTGATCTCAGCCAGTTGCGAGGTTAGCGTTTCGTTTAACTTTCGTAGTTCTGACTTAATGTCGATATAATCGTCGTTAGTGATGGTTTGGGATTTCTTAGGAGGCATGATGATTGGGTGCAAACAATCGAGAAATTGATGACGTAGGACTGACCCGACCTGATTAATAGCGGAGATGGATGGAGATGGATGCTTGGCGCGCCTTAGAGATGCCTTAGAGATGCGCCTTAGAGATGCCCTTCAGCGCAAAGTCCTTGCGTCCTCTTGGATGCGCCTTATGTTGATGCGCGTGGTTTGATTTTCAAACAGATCAAAGTCTAACAAATTGACGAAATTTGTTGTTCTTACAGACAAAAATCGTCGCAGTTTCCCACATTCAAATGATATAATGTAGTTCACTAGAATTGTTGAACGAACCGCTTTTAGCTGATGTAAAATTCAATATAAATTTCCAAGTATATCCGGCTATATCCTCACAATTATTTAGCGGTGAACGTCGGTCTGTTTCGAGAACGCTGACCATGTCGAGATTAAGTCATTGGCTACCGTTAATAACCAAGTCACTTCGTTTACGTGCACTTGTCCAAAAGAAGACAGAGATGGCGTTTACCAGTATTTGCCATGCTACACTCCCTTTAACGCCGATGATTGTTGTTTCTGTGTTAGTTAGTTTTGGCTTTTGTTTGAGCGAACACACTATACCTTTTGGATCAAATGAGGGGATAGCTCTTTGAGATAACTATTAGCCCCTATAATATTTGTTTGTTTATTTTATTTTTTGCTTTTGTTGAGAGAAACGCACTTTATCTCAGAAACATCAACATTTTGGATCGAATTTAGGGATAGCTCTGTCAGATAGGTATTAGCGGCGATGAATTTGTTTGGAGGAATGGAAAATAAAATACATAATTTTGTTTGTGAAAATGCATGTTACGCTAATAACATGCTAAAAGTGGGTAGGAAATTATGAGATTTGGAATACCTATCAGCGCAAATGATTTTAAGAGGGATGGGGTTGTATTATTATAATTGTTTGGGGAAAACAGACTTTACCTTTAAAAGAAGCATGTTGAATGGATCAAAATAATTGGATAGAATTAAGAGGATAGGTATTAATAGCATCGACAATTTGTGTAATTGAAATGCATGGTACCATAGAAACAAGCTGATTAAATTGATAGGTAATATATAGACAATTAGCCTGATTGGTATCGATACTTTTCACATTACCTTCGTTGATTAAACAAAACCAATAACGCGTCACACGTTAATGCCCTCGACGGTTCTGTACAATAATGAATGGCATTGTTTTCTCCCGAAGGTTGGTACTTTCAAAGGTTCGTTTATTTGAATTTTCTAAAGGAAGAAGGGTTCATTGCTCAAGGTTTGCAATTGTGATAATTAAATATTTTCTCTTCTTTTCGGAAGAGAGAACCCTATTTCATCTTTCGACTTATCATTAAGTTATTAGAAAAAAACGAACGGCGGAATTATGAACTGATGGGTTAAAGAATCTCTCTGATCAATAAAAATGGGGAATTATGAACCTTGGGAATTATGTATCATCGAAATAATTAAATTTTTAGAACTACAAACCTACGAAAACAATTGAAATAAGCTCGGTTTAGTAGGTGAATTGTCAGACAAGGTTACATTCACCCCTACCAAATTAATGAGCAATTTTAAGCATCATTCTGGTCACCATTATGTCCTGACTGAAACTTTCTTCAAAAATAAACAAACAAATTATTATAATGCTCACAAGAAAACTATAATGAAGTTAAATTTGTAATTCTACACATGAATTTTGATTTTGAGATATTTATAAATTATGAAATCGGGGTATCTATCAGCGCCGTTGATTTTTAAAGATGTGGGTTGTACTTTTTTTGTTTGGGGAAAATACACATGTTGAGTGGATCTAAATTATGGATAGCATTAACGTATAGATACTGATAACGTCAATCTTTGTTTGTTGTCGTTGAAATGCACGTTACGAAAGAAATAAGCTGGTATTAAGAGGTATGATAGATTTTAAAATCTAAAAAGACCGTTATGCACTGTCAGACAATTTTATATCGAGCTTCATCACATTATCTTCATGAATATTTCCGGCATGAAAAAGGTCTGAATATGTTATGAATACATTTTTAATTGAATTATAATAATGCGGCAAGCTTTGAGGCTCTAGATTTGGAAGGAAACATACATGTAGGTGGCATCGATTTCTCCCGAACGTTGGTACTGGTTCTTTAAAAGGTACTATGTCCTATTTGCAGCAAAAATAAAATTCTGTAGAACTTTGCAGAAATCATTAACATGTCACATAAGTCCTATCTGTGAAATTTAAATGTTAGGAGTGTCCTAATATTCAAATCATGTAAGGAAACCTGCTTACCCTCTAGACTTTACTGTCAGACACTATTGAGGGACTGACTGACTTTCTTTTGTTTGTTAATATAATAACATACTTAAAATGAGCTGTGAAGGGTACATGAGCATTTGTCTACATCAATAATCCAATTCTTGTAATGGCCAAAATGAAACTGATTGAATCTTTGCGCAGCACAAAACGTACGACCATTCGGTACAAAGGTCTGAAAATCAGACTATTACTTTAGTGATTGTAATCACTATGTCGATCCGACAACTAATGGTCGTTTTTTGTCCACCTAAAGACATTTTCAAGCCCTTTCATTTCTATCTAAATCAGTATTATTTTTCAAATGCCATTGAATTTAACCTTTTCATTTTTGGCCTGCAAATGGGACAGAGTACCTTTTAAACAAATTATTCGAAAACCAGTTAGTTCATAATACTGATAATGTTATAACGGTTTGAATGTGAGCATTAATTATTTCCCAAGTTTAAAAAGTTTACCTTTGAGTGCATTTTAGCGCTCACCACGCGAATTCACCTACCCGGAAACAAAAAAGGGAAGGGGCGGGGGTCTGCATTGGTACGTAATTCTGTTGCACATAATAGTTAGTGGGTATAAATGGGTGTGGGAGTGATGCTTTAGCAGTGGTTATTTTACCTGGCTGCTAAGAAATCATAAAGGCTTGTTAGTAATGCTATGTTCCCACTATCACGATTGGCGCCACGTTTGAAATCGTGGTCTTAATTGTGGAGTAATCGTGGTTATCCTATCAGATAGTATCAGATCTTGAGGTCCATCTCTTGGTCTTGCGCGAAGTTTCTGATTTGGCTATTCTTTTGTGACGGTACGCTAATAATACAAACTCCTAAGGAATCGTTTGGTGCACTGGTATGACGCCTCGTCTAACGACGGCTGCACATTAGGCGTCAAGTCACAACGCAGCTCACAAGGCCTAATTTCGTAACGTATGAATGCGTCAGCGACTGGCGCTTTCATTTGACGCAGCATGTGGAAGCATTGGGTTGAACTGCTGGCATGCAGGAGTATTTCCTTCACAGGCTTGATCAGAACAGATCACGCGTAGCAGCCGAAAAGAGGCCCAGTGTACAGCGAGAATCACGGTACTTCGCTATGACTCATCACCTTCCATTCTGTCTCTCTCTGTCTCTCTCTCTCTCTGTCTCTCTCTCGATATCTCGTTCCCCCCCCCCTCTCTCTCTCTCGCTCCACTGTACCACTGTTCTCAGTTGTTTCTCTTAACTCCTTTCTCTTTCTCTCTCTCTCTCTCTCGATCGATATCTCGTTCCCCCCTCTCTCTCTCTCTCTCGCTCTACTGTACCATTGTTCAGTTGTTTCTTTTAACTCCTTTTCTCTTTCTCTCTCTTTCTCTTTCAACTAGTATCTTCTTCTTTTGTTGCACCCTTCCCCTTTCTTTCTTTCTTTCTTTCTTTCTTTCGCTCTTTATCCTCCATGCATGATATTGTCTCGTTCTCCACATTTTTTTTTTATCTCTCTCATCTAAAACTTATATTGATGTTCTTGTTGTATGCTTTCACACGCTATGATTCATTTCATGTTAAATCTACTATTTGAAGTAGGATGTATACAAACAACACTTCTCCACATTTGAAACAGTCGAATAGATACAGAAGAAAGTTAATGATCTTTGGTTGAAGTGTATAGTTTATTTCAGCAGAAACCGGACATAGTCATAGAATATGAAAACATGATTTCTTTGAAGTTAAAAATACATTTTACACTATAAATCAGTCGATTTGGAAATATAACCCTGATAGACAAAATATAGAAGACTTTGTACAAATACATGATTAAAATAAGTATCATTTTGACAATATTTTTGTCAGATAAATATTTGGTAAATAAATAAAAACACCAAATCGATAGTAATTAAACTTTAACAAATACACGATGCAGCTACGGACAGTATCTCTCTGATTCAATATCTATTTAAGAAAAGAGTAAATAAATGAACAAATATTTAAGTTCATATTACGATATGAACGTTTATAGTTTCAGTATACAAATTATTCATGTATTCAAGTATCAGCAAATCTTGATTGGTTATTGTTCGAATCGAAGCATTTCAAAGTTAAAAACTATGATATGTGATTTATTTCAGGTTTATATTTCATTTTCTAAGGCTAGTTAATGAATAAATACATAAAATTACTCTGAAATATCGTAATTTATGAGGAATTCTGAAGTTCAACTATTGAGATTACGTGGCGATGATAACTAGCAGGTAACAGAAGAATGTTCTCTGATCTCCTTCCAAGGCAATAAAGTAACGACCTTTGACACGCCATGCCGATGAACTTCTTAGTCTGTTTCACTAGACTCAACAGATGATTCAGCAGAGGCAGAGACGGAGGAAGAACGTCTAAAACGAGCTGTATAGGATGAGAAAACACATCAATTATTTACCCTAAAGATGTTCAACAGCTCATCTGCAACCCATAAATTACTACTATAACATCTGTTATCATTATTATAATTAAGTGTTTGGCGTCACCTGTGCCTGGGAGGCGAAAAGCGAACTAAATCACTGTAACCCTCGGGTCTCTCCTCCCGGTATAGCTAATCGGAGGTGTGCAGGTGGACCACTACACCAGGGTTTTTTCCCTATTCTTATGCGAATAATGCAAGGTGTTAACGTGTTAAAGGATCAAATATTATCGTCTATGTACCCATGAGGCAAAATATCTACGACAAATGCTCCGGCTATAATTGCTCCTACGATGATTTTCCACACGAGACGAATTCCATCCTGAAAAAATACCCCTTACCCTTACTCTACACCGGACCTAAAATTTAATTACAACCCTAATCCTAGCCCTGTATGTCTTCAATGAAATAATCCCCAAAACAATAAATGTCGCTGTAGCACATTTCGGATCAATCTGAGAAAAAAAATTACCGAAGGAACTTTATTTGCTGAACACGAAATGGCCCTGAGCGCTTTTTTTCTAATGTTTTCATGAATGCATTATATTTATTTCATACAGAATTCGTGATAATAAAGGTATTCACAAGCAAAATGTTGACCTGAATTTTCTCAAAATAATTATTTATTAAAAAAAATAAAATTGCATTAAAAAAAAACAATCTGACTCTAGTCTTAAGAGGAGGAAGGGAGAGGGGTATTTTCTTTCTCAATGGATGCTATTGATTTCTCTTAGTATAAAACTTGATATTAAGAAGGTTCTTCTGAAGTTAAAAATGAATTTCATTACAGAGAAACTTGGACTGTCTAGCTTCAGAAAATAGACCCCTTCCAAAAAGCAAGAATATTGTGACTTCGGTGATGTTCCTTACCTGAAGCGGGACACGAGACAACTCGGATGCAAACGCTCTCCAAGATCTCACAAGCATCGGCAAAGTCCGTTTCACCTTCCTCTTCCAAACACACCTGATTATTATCGGCGGAATTCAGCAAAGCCTGCTCATCAGCAGTCACTAGCCCGGGAAGTCTTTCTTCACAGTCGTTCATCACTGTTCTGTATCTATCGCAGAGAGCTTGAAACTCCGAAGTGCGGTCGGTGGTTTGGGCTGTTAATATTGGAAAAGTATTTTAGAAAAAGCAATGAGGTTTTAAAGAGTAACAAGGTTTTTAAGAGAATCTGTACTTCAATATTACTTCATTTGATTTAACAAAATTAATCAAAGCTTTGCGTAAAACGACGGGATATTCAATCTGAAATATATACATGGAAAGTCACAAGTATATGGTAAGTTCTGTTAATATAGTCCCTCTATTCATGATGATTTTCGAATCGTCTATCGAATGAAATGTAGACAAACGATATAATTAACATTAGTTAAAAGTGTCAAGTTAACGCTTGTGAATTCATGTTATATTCATGTGAATTCATAACATTGAGAAAGCACCCCCTAAAGAATAAAATAAATAAGCTTATTTTGATTACAGGTTTTTAGGAACGTTAGTGAACGATATCTACTCCAATGACCTTGTAAAAATATAAAGTATGCATGTATATATTTTTTTATAATTCTTAATTCACTCTTAAACATTCATTTATTTGTTATTGTTTATTTATTTATTTAGTAAGTATCTTAAAAGAGTACCCCGGCAGCCATTAACATAAGGTTGCCCTTGGGGCTCTATATAAATTAAACGAGACAAAATACATACATAAACATATTATTTTTTTTCATGGTGAAATGATAATCAAGAATAAATATTTCCTTCATTCCATCCTCATTATTGATATGTATTATTTCTATCTAGAATACATACCATAGTTATTTTCATCGCATGACGTCTATACCCGAAAAGACTAAAGTGACTTTAATTTGCATCTCTGTTCCAGACTTTTAAAAAAGAGGAAATTATGAAGATGTATTCTTACCTTTGATTTCCAGTGTAACAAATGCAAAGAAGCACAAGCAAAGGGACAGAGTTTTTACCTAAATAAAAAAGAAACCAAATAATAAGCATCAACATAATGTGCCTGCAACATGTTCATTGAGTATTCCAAGTCGCATCAACAACAAAATAGAAACGACAAATATTAATGAAGTTCACAGAGTATATATTGCTTACAATAAGATTTTACTTGTACAAAGAGGGAAAACATCTGAACCTGCTATACAATTTTCCAATAATATAACAAATTAGTTTACAAGAGCAGTGATGCAAATTCATGAGAGCCCTGCAATTACATTTCCCAAGCAATTGCCAGATACTAATTTACACCTGGGTGGAGGGTGGCAAATGTAGTTTAATATCTTGGTAAAGAACGTTAATTCTGACTGGTATTCGTACCATAAACTCTAGGATTCAGGGTTAAATAAACGACTCACTATGTCGTGTCACCGTTGTCGAATACATAAACAAAAGCAAATCCAGCAGATAGGCATGCAAATAAAAAAAAGTAGTAATTAACAATTTGCAATAAAATCTCAAATCTCCAAAACACAAGCATAAGTTAGATGCATTGGTTTGAGAATGTTTGTCACAATCTTTACATAAGAAATGACATGTTTGACATGTGTAAACGAAAGAAAGTTATACTTACTACTGAAGCCATTTTAGAAAGTTCGTTGAGTCGAATGCTTTGAGTAAAGTGAAGTATCGAAGAATGATGAGTGAATGATGAAACAAATCATTTAGCCTCCTTTTATAGGATATTAAAACAATCAAATTTGAGATGGGGGCGGGTCAATTTATGCAAAGTCAAATCACATTTCTTCCATTAAAAAACAACTTATAATTGAATAATTAAATTATCATTTTGTATTTTATTATTGAACTGCAATTTCCTTTTTTTGAAAGGCCATTTATTCTTCATTATGCGTTAGGTAGAAGCTGACAGTTGAAGGATAAAAAGTAATAATATCCATGCTATTATGACCGTGTGGAAAAAATGATAAAAGATATTCCCAAATTAATTGACTTCCTTCCCTCTGAGTGTCACTACAACTGCTTACCAATTTTACGTCACACCGTTATTTCATTCAAGTGTAGGATCCTCTTTACATAATAGTTTTTAAATTTGGCAGAGCGCCGTATGGCAGCCGTGCTAAAGCCAGGGGAATAATCGGGAGCGCCAGGAGGGTCAAATCTGACTGGCATGAGCGATATACAAGAACCCACTATTATTATTATTATTATTATTTTTATAAAGAAGGACTTTGAAATTCGGTAAAAACATATGTGTAGGGCCTATACAGAAAATCAAAGCTAACCTTAATAGCAAGTTATTTTAATAGAAAGCAGAAAAAAGTCAAAGAAGCAGACTGGTGTATATCTGAAAGAAATCGGACATAAAGTTAAAAAGAAGTGAAATTTTGAAAGCTACGTAAGAAATTTCAAATTTACTGAATCGGTACTGACACTATAATCTAGTGCCGGACAGCTTTCGTTTCAATACAAAAAATGACTTACATGACAACTTTTCAAAATTTAAGACTCGGACATGACCACATGACCATGTAATACTGCCATTCGTACATTCGAATTCATTTAAGCTTTTCGTTCATTCATATGAATCCATTTTGTTCTAATGACTCCCTTTAAAAAAATTCCTAAGTATGTTTAGAAAACAAGCGTAGTATGTAATGGCTATAGTATGGATTCGTTCAATTTTCTTAGACTCTAAGATGTGTATGAAAATGAGCATAGAATTAAAGGATATTTATTGGTGCGCGCGTGTGAGTTTAGGACCGGGGAATCACGCGTATGACTAAACTTTGTTGAATAAAGTATTTTTCATTGCTCTTTGAAAAAGTTCATTAAAAAAGATACACATGGATTTTATTGAGCAACGTGGAAATGATTACAAGATAATTCTTAATGTGTAGAAAAAATATCTACACGATGGTTAAACAATTGATCCTTTGTCGTGCATCCTGTAGATTAATGGAGATACCATCATGCGCGAAACATCACACCTCCCACCGAAAAAAATACGTTTGTTTCGATTTTTTTTTTTTTTTTTTTTTTTTTGGGGGGGGGGGGGTTAAACATCTAAAATAATTTCAATTTCAGGGAATTGAAAAAACAACATCAGGGGCCTATAAATCAACATCCAACGTAATCGTTAATGTTATGCGAAATGGACTGCCAATACGCGAACTCGAATGCCCGAGTTCACCTTTTGACAATTACCGAATTTGAACAAATCTTGGCACACGCACTAGACAGAATGAATTTGGATGATAAAAAGGTAAAATCGCATGCACAAGACTCTATATTGAATGACGTCTGCACTTAATTGAACGTACCTTTGAGCGAACATTTTGTTCAAAAATATCGTAAATAGATTTAATTGCACGTGACAGTTAATCGAAATATGGCGGACGATGTTGATAATAAACAAACTTGGAAAATCACCAAACGGAATAGTTGTCATTTGTTTTGGCACGATTGATGTTATAATCACCTGTAAAGTAAAAACACTGCCAAGCTGTCAAAGGGATCATTGGTTGGCAAAACAAATGCACTCACGGAAACCAATACCGTTGCTGCTGGAATTAAAGTATAAGATAATAATCCATTTACAGTTTATTCTATGAATAACACGAACAAGATAATTTAACATACTTGAATCTTTAATTCCTCTTTTTTGAATTATTTGTAATTCCTTTTTTTTTTATCCCACTTATTTCGTCAGTTACAGCTGTGGGTAGAGCTTTACACGTTTCACATGATACCCCAAAACCCAAAATGTTCTGGTTTGCACATTACGTTTACTATTTTACTCCCGAAAATAAACAATTTGTCATAATAAATGCTTCAAAAGAGTTTAAAGTTTTATTCTCAATTATCATCATTAAATAAACCATGTATTTATATCCTTTAAACTATCATTGGAAGTAATCACACATGTTTACTGTTAATTTCCCTGCTTGATTTTACAACTGAGTGTCCCCCACCCCCCCCCCGCCAAGGCTTTGCTGCTCATTATGATAATTCTCAAAATCATCATTTATCAGCTGTTATTTATTTTTTTTCTTCATTTTTAGTAATATTGTTAATATTGTTTTATCATTATCATTATTTGTTATGATAATACATTTTATTATTATGATTATTATTATTATTATTATTATTATAATTATAAGTATCATCAATATCATATGCTCATTTACGTTGATATATTTTCCTTAAAAAAACGTTGGTTGTATGTACTCAATATCATTTCACCTTCAATGATAGCTATTACGTATAACTGATCAGACAATGTCGTAATATGGCAGTGTTGACGAAATCGGTGAAGCAATTACCGTGCCAATATAGGGATTCTTGTGTTGTAGAACAGCCTTAATTATTCGTTATGAATTTCAATAGCTGGATATGGTTATTATTTTGTATATCCTTCAGCTGTCATTGCTTCGTGATTAATCGGTGGTTTGGATTGTGAGGTGACAGTTTAGCTGTTTACTAATGAAATACAAAATGACAGTTTAAATTAGTTAATAATGGAATAGGAGATTACAGTTTAATTAACCAAAGGTAAATTGTTTTCATAAAAAAGTTTGTCTCAATTTGCATGAATTGATCCGCTCTCATCCCAAATTTAATTTTTTTAGATCCTATAAAAGGAGGTTAAATGATTTGTTTCATCATTCACTCATCATTCTTCGATACTTCACTAGATTCAAAGCATTCGAGTCAACGTACCTTTTAAAATGGCTTCAGTAGTAAGTACAATTTTCTTTCATTTACAAAGCTAACGTATCTCGTTTCTGATATTAGCTTCATTATCAATATCAAACTAGTATATCTCAATTCGAGAAGGGCATTTTACTTAAGAGATGGGATGTGAAATAGTAAATTTGTTATGTTTAGTTTTGTTACAATGGTGTCAAGGTATTGTTCATTCACTTAACTCTCAATCCTAGGGTTAAGGGTTCGAATCCCAGCCCGACACTAACGCCCTTTGGCAAGACGTTAATTCACATTCAAATAGCCACACTCCACCCAGGAAGAGTTATTGTTGTTGTGTGTGTGTGTGTGTGTGTGTGTGTGTGGGGAGGGGGTGGGGGGTAATGATGATTGCAGGTATCTCAGGAAAAACAGCATTGATGCTGATCAGGTTTCCCTGCGTAAACGAAGGTGTAAAATTATATATCTGTCGGAAACTTCGAAATTGTTTTGGAGGTTTTGATGTTTTTTCCTTTTCCCCCTATTTGATCAGATAGAATCTTTATACAAGCAATATATATCTTTGTGTATTTCATTGCGATTTCTTCTAAAATTCTATACTGTTTTGTTGCAGTGTTGAATACTCCCGGAATGTATCCGAGACAAACTATTGATTTTGACGCGGCTCTTTCTTTATTTCCAGGTAAAAACTCTGTCCCTTTGCCTGTGCCTCATTGCATTTGTTACACTGGAAATCAAAGGTAGGAACGCTTATTATTAAAATGTTATCATGATTTATTATGAGTTTAGAACGAAGATGAAATGAATACTACCACTTGGGCTTTTTCGCGTACAAACGTCATTCATGGGAAAGTGTGAAATGTATTCTACGTGGAAATAATACATTTCAATATAACAAATATTCTTTTGAGGATGGAGTGCGATAATTTTCCATGGTTATGACAGAAGTCATATTTCATCAAATATTCCGTCTCACAGTGAATACATAAGGTGACACCAAGTTACTTTTGATATGAAGTCAAACGATTAAATTGGTATTTCATGGTATTCATGTTAATGATTAACGATTTTTTTTGGGGGGGGGGGGGAGGGGGGGGGGCGGTTGTGCGATTCAAATATTATGTCCATAAATTGACATGATTGAGGGTTGATTTGCAAACATTTCATATAATTTGTGACTGTATATTTAATCTCAATTGAATATTCAGTCGTTGTACATGGAACTAAAACAAAAATTGATTCAAAAGAGGTAGTATTGGAGAACAGGTTATAAACATAATGTTATTTTGCTTAAAGTCTCATTGTGATCGCTAAATTCACATCACTTTCTCCTAATCTTAGCCCAAACCATCGATCACACTTCGGAGTTTCAAGCCCTCTGTGATAGATACAGAACAGTGATGAACGACTGTGAAGAAAAACTTCCCGGGCTAGTGACTGCTGATGAGCAGGCTTTGCTGAAGTCAGCCGATAATAATCAGGTGTGTTTGGAAGAGGAAGGTGAAACGAACTTTGCCGATGCTTGTGAGATCTTGGAGAGCGTTTGCATCCGAGTTGTCTCGTGTCCTGCTTCAGGTAAGGAACATCACTGAAGTAACTATTTTTATTTGGGAGGGGGAGTGGTATACTTTCTTTATGAATTCGATTCATCTAGGAGCAATAATTGTCGCGGGGAAAAAATGTCGAAAACTTTTTGCTCATATGTCACTTCATCAAACAATCTGCCGGATTGATTTTATTCATCGTACATGTTGTGAGTCGTAAAATAGATTACAGTATAGTATTAATGACTGCTTTGAGAGAAATAGTTGTTTTTATACGCTCAAGGGAAGGTTAGAATTGTGCTATTACCCGAGGCGTGCCGAGGGTGATAGCCCAATTGTAACCTTCCCGAGAGCGTATAAACACAACTATTTTTCGAATATTAAAGCAGTCATTAATACTTTTATATGCCGAAAAAAA